AGAGCAGTCATGACATTATGAATCAGAGAAAACTAACAGTGAAATGCAGAAGAATTAGCGTTTTTTTTTTCCCCAGAGATGCCAGTTCCTGGAAGGGACAGCAGCTGAGCAGACTGACAGCTTTGCCAATTGCCTAACCAGAAGGATGGCTCGCTTCCCAGAGCCACAGCAGGGCCTTGGCACTCAGCTGGCTGGGGAGGTGAAGTGCTGGGTAAGGGGCTTGACGCCCCAAGGTGCTCGGAGCTCTGCGAAGCCCTCAGGCACGTGAGGAGTCTCACAGAACAGAGGGCTCAGCACTTCAGGTCAAGCATATCATGAAGTGCTTTGCTCGACTGGCTCTCAAGTACTCTCGGACTTCCAGGATCAAACCCAAAAAAGGGTCAGCTCACGTGGATCCTTAAGCACAAAAAATAAATCCCCAAACAAAACAGTTCTCTTAAGGACAAAACTTAGGAAAAACCAATGTCTGTTAAGAGTGTATCTGGGACCCAACACTATCCAGGACAAGCACCAGGGGTGCTGCAGGTCAAGCTTTAAGTATTATTAAATGGTGCTGCAATAAGAGCCTGAGAAACACTACAATACTGTCATTCCCTGCTGGCATCATTCCTAAGGCAAGTAATCAGGTCTGCTCTAGGCTATTAGCTCAGTCCCTCTAATGTGGTGGAAGAGGCCAGGAAAGCAGAGCTTGCTTTAGGCATGGCCTCTCACCCACCGTGGCAGACTGCCAGTAGCAGCAGAAAGGCCCCGCTGCAGCCTGCTTTGCTTTTGCCAGGGCAGATGGGGAAGGATGGTTCCTGCAGCGAACATCGGCCTCCTGCCCGCACGCAGGCAGCCTGCTGGCGTAGCAGCGGTGTAGGACAGTGGGCACTGCTGCCAGGGGAAGGAGGGAGCAGAGGGGCAACCAGGGCTCCTCTGGGATCTCCCCTCAGTTCTCCAAAATCTGCATTGAGACTCCCTAACTCCACTCTCCCTCCAACCCTGTCACTCCACAACAACCATGTCACTCGTCTTCCAAAATGCCACAAAATCTCACTGCTCCCCACACATACTGGCGCTGCTAGACACAGGACAGGCTTCGGGCTAACATGGAGATAGCGAAGTGGCTTATGAAGTGTTCCTGGATGGGCAGACCTCCCTAGGCTCTAGGGTTGAGTTTATGAGCAGAACAACAGTTAGTTAACACTAAAGTAAGATTTCAGATTGTCAGGGGCTACAGAGCTTATTACCAATTTCAAAGACCCCCAAGGTTACAAGGGCTGTTTCCAAGAAGGCTGTGTAACTTATGGCTAGCTCTAGGATAAGGGCTGCTGAGCTCTAAACATTTGCAACAGACTCCCGTGAGACCTACCAAGAGGACATGAGGACTTTTAACTGTAGATTTAGAGAGCTTAAGGTTACTTTGGAGGCACTGAGGTCTATAGGTTTACATGCTATCATGAAGCTTAGGACCAATGCTAAGGTTAGGGACCACAAGGGTGAAGACGTCAACCAGGTTTTGGATCATGCACAGCCCGATGGCATACCATGAGGACAGTTTCCAGGTGTATGTAATGGCTTACATTTCATCCTGATGCAGGTAGGAGCAACTGGGCTCAGCTGCCATGTTCCAGCCAGGACAGAAGGCATCCAAAGCCAGGGGTCTGCATTGGTTTAGGGGGATGAAGACTTTGCCAGAAAAAGCAAGTAGTTTATAGTTTTATGAAAGAAAGAAGATTACATGGATACGTTATTATGATGAGGTCAGAGATTAAGAAAAAAGGGGAAGCAAGATGGAAAGTTCATTTTATCATGATATCCTGAGAGTCCCATCAGAAGAGCACAATTGCTGCTGTGAATTTGGTGCACTCAACTATCTGTATACTTGCTCATTCTTGACAATTCAGCCTAGCTATTAGGGCCCATCACATACTCCAGCCTGTACTGACCAGATGACAAATATCAGGAATATCTTGCAACACTGCCTAATTAGACCATGTATATTGCACAAAGTTCGGTGCATGGACCATGAACTTCTGGAAAGCAGCTCTTGTCCCATCATGCCCAAAGGTACAATTTAATCCTTTTTAAGAGAAGGAGGGCAAAGCAGGAATTAACCATGAAAAGATCTGTCAACAACTTTTTTTTGAGATTGGCGGTCACGCTTCCAGGAATTCAAATGACCCATCTACTCACAGCATTTGATAAGCATCACATTGAAATACAGCACTAACAGAACCAAAGTTAGAGCAGGACCAGGTTTGTCCTGCCTGGTCTTGGTACCAGAACAAGACTCCACCAGTCACTTGCTGAGGCTCTGATCGTGCCTATTCCTCTCTCAGTGAGGCCCTTTGAATCTACGCAGCTCATGATGCTCGAGATCACTTTATCAGACAATACCCATATTTTAGGTATACTCTATGCACCTCCTCAGGCTATTAAAAGATATTTGCAAAAGCCTGAAATGATGAGTCATCTTCACGGGAAAAAAGCTTTTCTCCACCTGGCATCTGAAGCTAGGTGGGCCAATGACTCCTCACCTGTTTCCCTTGGGCGGGTGCTAATTACATCCGATTGATGCTCTGCAGGATTTTCTCCCTTAACTGCCTAATCTATGAAGTAATCCAAGAGGTCCATTCTTTCCACCACTTCACCAGACACTTTTCAATGGGGCATGAGTTTTTACTGAGTAAGGAGGACTGCAGTGAAGAAGAGACTGGCAAGCAGGAGGAGCTGATTTCCAGGCAAAGTGGTATTTCACACTGCAGTATTTCTGCTGATGGTGTTAAACATTTTTGTATCATCCTCAGGTCTATTTGGCAATGTTCTCTTGTCAGAAATGCACACAATAACAACACTTCATGAAATCAAAAGTTGCTGTTTGTCATTTTCTTTCACTAGACTCCATGCATCACAGGACTGCCATGACACGGTAACTGAAATGGTGAGAAGTTGATGGAGGTCTGTGGGATTTCCCACATTGCAAACAGGAATGACCGCAGTAGACAGACCCAGGTTTTCTATGTCCCACCCAAACCACTTTTTCAGCATTTGTTTCTAAAGCACTCTACCAGGCCACTGGTCTGGAAATGATGCATTGCTGTTTTCAGAAAGTTCATTTACTGCCTGGTGGACTTCCCACATGATAGCACTGTGAAATGTATGTCCCAGTCTCTTACAACTTAACTTCAATGTCTGCTATGCTGGTGATGGTGGACTTCAATGGTACAGCTCTAGGAGAGCAGGAAAAGTACTCTCATATTATCCAGGATATAGCACACACTAGACATTTTCAGTAAGACAGTGAGACCCTTTCAAGATCCTCTTGAACACAGGGACCGTAGGAACATACAAGAATTCATGCCTTAGCATTTTTTTGCCTTCAGTGACTAACACGTAGCAACTCAGCGTACTACTTCTCTGAGGCTATGCCAGGGACAACTGAGGTTATTCTCACCTCTTGTGGTTCCTAGAGAATATAGTCTGGGAGGTCATTCTGGCACACAGACAGGAGATCATGTCACAGATGGGGTCCACATGCTCCCTGCTTGCTCCACTGCTTTCGGGAATGACCATTGTACTGTCGCTGGGCAAAAAAAAAAAACATCTGGAGCGTCTTCCCCACTAACCCTTTTGTCTGGAGATGGGATCACATGCCTCAGGGGCTGTCTTCTTCCATGCCTAATCTCACCATCATTAATGGTGCTCTTTCCCAGTCAAGTTGGGTGAATTTGACTGTTTCTGTAGGCACTATGGCCATGCTACTTCTCCCAGTGGGTCAGTCCATGGGCATGACACTGAGAAAAAGACACTTCTTATGACATGATACTTGGTATGTGTTAATATACATCACTGGTGTATGCTAACACCAGTTATTACATGCCACTGTAGCTGCTTCTCAACCCCAGTGATTGCCTGAGATCACAGACAGGGATTTTTCTACCTCTGAGCAGTCATAGCATGTGGTTGGCCTTCAGACACTGAGCGTAACACAGATAGATTAATAACTCCATCAACTCAGTGTCTTTTCTTCAGTAAAAATGAACCCATCCAGCACTCACCATCTTCTGCTTTGTTTTATTGTACCAAGTTGAAAGCTGAGCAGCTTTCATGCCTCTTCCTTCCACAGTGACCACCTTAATACACATCATTTATCAGATGGGGATAAAGGACTCCTTTTCAGACTTCCTTAGCCATTGCATTAAAGCAGGAGTTACATTAGATTTGAAACACCAGCATACTGCCGTATCCCAAGGGTAGGATCAGGATTGCTACCGTGTGAGACAAATGGTTAGCTCTTCTGTCTCTCCTAGCTCTTCATTTGGACATACAGTTAGGCTGTAGGATGTGGAAGATCTTTAGCTAGCACAGACTCTAACAGCGTCATCAAGGTACGGTTATAATTTAGTATTATCCTACAGGCACGTTGCCCTACAATAAGTAAATGAAGTGTATTTTATAACTACTTCAAAAGCTCATTTTTACCTAATAGGAGGGCCATCGTATCAGCTACATGGCTTAACTGGCAATTTGCTTACAGATAAGCAATAGAATTTAAACCTTCTGTCCCTGGCGTGATTATATATTGCACAGGAATGTGAAAAGATTTAAACACTTCTTTTCTCAAAAAACTTCCATAAAAAAAAAAAAACCACACAGTAATGTTCAGCACATGTCCACATGTCAACCTGAGAAAGTGGCAGGAAAAAAAATGAATGTTAATTATGTTTAACTCCTCAGTGAACTCAAACTACATCATTGTTTAATCACCGTCACAATCTGTACTAGCAACCACATGACTGACTGCAGTGGTTTTTTCACAATAATCTTCTGTATTGAGTTTTTAAAATGCTATACCAGATCTGCATCCCATTAGTACAACTTTACCCTTCAGAACTCAAAATAGCATTTAGTTCATAAGTCTTCTAAACCAGTATTCTTCTAAACTAAATTAACTATCCCACTGAAATTCTGCTTTGTTGTGCAATTAGCTACAAGTGTCAATTTTCAGGCTTAGACTAGTGCATCCAACATTTGTCTACTTCAACACATACACCTTATTGAAAAACAAATTACCGTATTCCCCTTCACATAGTACTGCACGCTGTCAGGAACTGCCATCAGGTCGTTTCAGTTTATGAATTTATATAAATTGAATTAATATTAGGTGCAACCAAACCAATTGTAGAACACATACAATGAATTCATAACTGAAATTAGACAGGAACTAAAAACTCTTTGCTACCTCCCAGCTGCATTCATGCCATAACCACATCTGTTTTCTAGAGAGTCTATTTTTGCTGCCACCAAAACACTGAGTGAAACATGCAGCAAGCAGCATCCTGACAACAGACTTACAAATGTCTTTTTGACCATGGCTCTTTGTACAAAAAGTGGGAAGTAAAGCTGGACCTTTCTGTTGTACTGATCTTATTCTATTTGTCCCCAGTTAAAGAAAGACTAATGTATATTATCTGCTAAAGCCTAGAAATAGAAAAGAAATGTGGGGTTTTTTTTTATTTTCCTTAGAAAATTTACATCAATTTGAGAAAAAAATATAAAAATAATCTGACTCCACAATAACCACCCATCAATATTTGTTCATGTTTGGAATTTTCTTCTTTTTTTTTCCAGAAATATTCAGCACCCAGACCTGGATGGATATGATTTTAAGACATTTGTCCTCAGTGAACAGCTACAACAAGCAGCCAAATTTTCAGAGTTCCTTTTATCCTTAGCTATTCAGTTTTTAGCAGAAAGTTCAAATGGATTAATTTATTGCGAGAACTCCAGAATCCCCGCTTTGGAAAATCCTGGCCCCTGTTCCTCACAGCTCCTCCAGGTTTCCTACCATATAGCCATCAGCTAGACGACACATTTAAATGGCACTGTCTAACCAAATATAATCAGCTACATGGCAGTTGGAATTCCCATAGCTTATCGTTCACACCATGCCTAAACTATAAATTAAACAGTGCCAAAATGGCACTGGAACACAACCGTTTTTGTATTGTTAAAAGGCTAGAAAGATCCTTGGCATGGGTTGGAGTTTGCACAAGCCAGGAACCTTTTCAAATAGGCAGTTTGCACATAACATTCATTCGGAAAATAAGACACCTTAATAGTAGAGATGTGCCCTGTTCCATGTCCCTTTGAATGAGCATATTTAATTTATGGTACCATAGCCCTAGGTGCCTAACAAGGACCACACTTCACACCGCTTAAAATTTCGGTGTGCAGTTAACCAGTGTATAAAAGACAGTAAAAAAAATACAACAAAGTACAACAAAATACTAATAGACACAGACACACAATCACCAGCATTGGAAAAGCATCAGGTCTAATTCAAATCCCACGCAGCTGTGAACTTCTTAGTGCTCTCCTAGAAATGCCTTTGCATCCAGCATCAAGCTGACCACAGCAGAGCAGAGCCCAGGAAACCTTTCTGAAAATCATCCTTAAGGATGCCTGCCACCTTAATGTTTTATCACTGGTATATTTAGACAATAAAGACCGCAAGGAGAAAGAGGAATACAAGTGAAATAAAAATGCAGTGAGAGAAAGCAGATTTAAACAGCCAAGGAGAGCGGACAGCTCAGCAGAAGTAAGGCTGAATGAAAGAACGCTACGTTCTGGTCACGTAACTTGGGATCCAGCCCTGCAAATATCAAATACTGGTGTTTACCTCTACCTGGACACGGAAATTAATGTCTGCCTATGCAGACCATGTCTGCCTACACTGCTCTTCAAGTTACTCCCAGGTTTTGATGCTCTAATTACGTAGACTGCGTAAATATTGGTGTATGCCCACGTGCTTCAGTGCTCTTCTGACTCGGGGTCTGTGCCTATATGTGATACCTGATTTTAGATTTGGGGGTATATAAGAACATTTAAAATGAAAAAAACCTACATCCAATTTTTTTCTAAGCGGCTGGAAAAGTACTTCCACACAAGCATTTGAAATCAAGTCAAAAGAAGAGATTAAAAACCTATTTATACTCTGAAGTCTGTTATTATTTTGAGGAGCTTCAGTAATGCCATGTATCCATTTAAGTCATCTGCCACTACCTCTCTGCTTTCAGTTGATAACAGCGTTGCAAAACTTAACCTCGTGGGCTGAGATTTTCTGCAGTGCTTCCTTCTCAGATTGATCTGGGCTTTTTTGATAGTGAGAGCTAAGGTATATTTGAGACAAAACAGTTCAGCTAGTACTAAGAATCAGGACGAACGAAAGCAGGCTATTCTTCTCATTTTAGAAAATTCAAATAACTTTATGTTTCCAACAAGAAACCCCAGGCTGCATTTGAAACCTGACTAGCAGGTGTCTTAGTGCTTGAGATGCCTTTTTCCCGATGCTGGGTACCATCTCCTGCCAGCCCTTTAAAGCAGCCTGGGCTGAGACTGCGGTTCCTGCTTGTTTTAACCTTCCTTCAACCAGGGCTGCTGCTGAAAATGGGTCTGTCGCCTTATCCTGCCCTGACCTCACCTTCCTATTCCCTCCCTCCCTCCTGCTGGTACTAGTGAACTGGTCTCATTAAAACCTGATCCCTTTGGCCAGGTTAGCCTTCAAGCACATCTCCTCCCTGATCCACTTGGGAAAACCCAAAAGTCTGCGTGAGAGAAAACACTTTTTCGACTCCATTGCTCTGAAAAAGTGCTGACAGTATCATGAACATCACAGTATTTTTGGGAAACTGATAATATTTGAAGCCTTCTTGATGCCTTGTGCCACCAGGGATGTTCCTGGCCTTCAGAGCAAGGTTAGCAGACCCATCCATCCCCATCCCCTCACCCCAGCACCCCTCTCACCTGTGCACCAACAGCTCTGGTTGAAGAACTTGAGGGGCCACCGTTCCCGGTCATCCACATTTCGAAGGGTGTAGGGGCCACTCCATGGCTGAGTGTCCACCTGCACCCCCTGACACTGTCCCCTGCCCTGCAGAGACCCACAGACATTGCCTGGCTCCGTCCCCAAGGCCGGGCAGCAGCGCTTCAAGCGAAGAGCATCCACCGTCATGCAGGCGCGGGGGAACTGCGCCTGCACCCCGGGCAGACGGCAGCAGCTCAGGTAGCAGAGCCCAGCCCAGAAAAGCCACCTCAGGGCGCCCATTACAGCTGGGTGCAGCCTCTGCCTCTCTGCTGGACCTGAGTGAGCAGAGCAGGGAGATCTCCATCGTGGGACAACCCAGCCTTGCTGTGGCTCCATGCCCGGACAACCAGGATAATCCCTCTCACTGCTGAGGATTCTGGTGTCGGGTGTTTGTTTAATCCCAGTCTCTAATTGCCTTGAATGAGGTTCAAAAGACGGGTGCTTTGGCTCTGCGGTGCCTGCCCAGCAGCCACGGCTTTGAGCAGGGTTTATATAGAGGCTGGGAGAAGCCCTCATTAGAGTGATTAGCACAGCGCAAATCCTCGTGTTTTGCACATGACATCAAGGGCAGAAAAGACGCTAGTGTGAGAGCAAGTTCTGCAGGCTCTGGCAGCTTGTCAGAGACTGAATGCCTCGGATTTATTTCTCCAGGCCTTTCATGAGCTTTGAGAAATTGATGGACTCGTTTTAGCTGAGGTGGCTGAAGAAACAGGTTTATTCTTTTAATCAAAACCCTGAAAACAGATGGTAAATAGAAGAAGAAACCCCTTCTCTTTTCAGGTCATTCACTGCACGATAATACTTTCCACTAAAGCAACAGAAGTCGAAAATGAACTGGAAGCACAGAGGACATAGGTGCATCATTAACGAAAATTAATAAACCTGGTAGTAACAGCTTGTGATGGGGACTCCACCTGCTGACCGCAGTGCTCCAGTGCTTGTACTCTAAATATCTGAGTGGCAAGTGGAGAAGGGTTCCCTTCTTAATAGCCTTTTTGCATGCAAAATAAATTATTTGCTTTTAAAGGGTGAGTGGTCCTTGTTTGCTCCCTAATCCTTTCCCCATCATTACACCAGAGGTTGTTTTGGGGCTGGTCTGGCTGCCAGACTTTCAGAACTGTCACAGCTGAGCATTTATTGCCCACCTGGCAGGAGACAGTCTGTAAGATCAATACACTCACCAGACAGGCAGACAAGTGGTTTTGTTCAGGACATCGACAAAAATTACTTTAAAAAGCTGCTAGAATGCAGCAGTTCTTGCCCACAATGCAACTCCTATCTGCTAGAGGAATAAAATGAATAAATCAAAATAAAGTAGTGATAAGTCACGAGAGGAGTCTGAAGCAATAGCTATTAGTTCAGCTCTACCATACTCAATAAAAATTGTCAACTCCCTCTGCTTCACTGAAAGCTTTCTCTACCTCTCTCCTCCATACCTCTATTGTTTAGCCATTTTGGTAAGTATGCATAATGAAAGCGGCTGTAGTTGTGTTTGTACTATTCAATATTTCCATGGGTGTTCAACCACACCATTCTGGCACAAGAAGTCTATTATCTATGCAGCAAACTTCTTGCCATCATGCAGCTAAGGAGTTCATCCACACTGCAGACACTGTCATCAGCACTTTCAGGTTCTCCAATCTTTATATAAAAAATTTATTACTTGCCAGACAAACTAAAATATGATCCTACTTCATTTTTGGAAGTACAAAGCCAATTAGCAATACTGCGTAGTCTGAAATGGATTTCAACTCGTCTCCCTTAGGATTCAATTTACCTGGAACTGCCTTTTGCCTGCTGCTCCCAGTGCAATATGTGAAAAAGACAGAAAGTGAGACTAGTTGCTGGAAAAACATGTTGAAGAAGCTCAGGAGTTATAAATGGAGGTACTAACACAAAAACACTCTGAACAACACACCTCCCTATAGCACTCAGCACCTGAACACACCTCTCTGGTGTGGGAAAGATCAGTCTTTGCATCCAGGTTAGACAATGTCTTGAACCAAACTTACTAACATAGCATCTGAGAGCAATTAAAGCAAACACACATTTATCAGCATCACCAAAAAAAAAACCATCAAAAAATATGGACAGGATTCAGCTAGCTGACTAAACCCCTGAACCAAGGTGTCTATACGTTAAATATGTTATGTTAAATATCTATGCAACCATTATAATCAAAGCCGGCTCAGTTCAGACACCCATAGGAAGGTAGCTACTGCCGTTTGAGAGCCTATATGAGACAGAAAGAGTAAGCACGGCAAGATACTGAGGCAGGCAAGGCAAGGAAAAGTGCTTCTAATACCATACATGAGGAAGGAGAAATGTGCCATTTTCAGAGAAGTTAGAGTGTGGAGAATAGGAATAGCGGATAGATAATAATATGGATATTACTTAGTTAGCGTGGGAAAGAAAACTGTGAGTAGGAGTGGCATATACGTAGCTTTTCTTATAAGTACCTCCCTCCATCACAACTACACAATTTTACAACACTGGGAGCATGCTACGGCATGCAATACTAGTATAGATGTACCACTAGACTCTGGTCCTCAGTAATGCATCAGCATTTTAGGAGTGCCCTCCCTGGCAAGGGGGAGAGCACCTGGACAGACAGAAAAAGGACGGACAGATCCCACATCCTGGCATCACCGTGTCAGCGCCTGTTGCAGGCTTGCCGGCATCAGCAGCTGCACGCCGTGCGGAAGACACCGAGTAAAATTACAACAAGACAGTTGTCTTTCAATTAGTCATTGAGAAAATGGCAAGCACTGTCCGTTCCTTAGTGCCTCGCTGTTCAGCAGTTCCCGCAGCTTCCCCACAGCTCTTGCGCTTAAATAAAGGAGCCGTTGTTAGGGCCGCACAATACGAGCATTATACTGGTTTACAAAATAGCATGCTGAATGACTTTTTATTTACTACGGGGTTTTACTACCTCGTGAAAAATTAGTAGTGCTGTGTGTTGGCACTACTGCCCAGAAGTGCTTGCATGCAGCTATCGAAGGACTTTTCAGGCAGCGACTCTGAGTACATGAGCAGTGGCCAAAGCCCCCTTAATCCAAACTGTAACCGCGCTGCCTTGTCCACACTTCTGAGCTACCAGGTCAGGCTACCACACCTGAAACTGTGTTAAATCTATTAGTTTAAATATTTAGGCTTTACACTGAAAGTACAGGAAAACAGTATTTCAGCTACCTTGTAGTCTGGATTCATGCCCAGGTTCACCCCTAACAGCAAACTTTTCAGCCTGTCGTCAAAGGACGGTAAACAAATATACCCATACAGAGTCCAACGCATTTTGGGGATTAATACATATTTTTATGGCCAGAGAGGGAATAAAGAAAAATACTCAAAGGTACAAGCAAAGAAATCACTAAACACAACTCACCCGAGTAACACAGAATTCCTGAGCAGTAAGTAGGCAATGGGTTCACATTTTTTTTTCTCAATGACCGTATTGTTTCTCAGGTTCCTTCTACTGTACTCAAGCACAGATCAGCATCAAGCCAGAAAAGTATTTAACCTTTGGAATTTTGGAAAGAATTTTGGCCAAAATACAACATTCTACATAAAAATTTATGTGAAAATCAATATAGCAACAGAAAGAACAAACCACATGATAATTCGTAACAACAGATGATAACTCTGGAGATAACAAGAAGATAGATAATTCTACAAGGAAAACTGAAGACAAGTAAAAGATCAGGGTCAAAGTGGAAAGAAAAGAGACGGGATGAGCAACACCCAAGCATTTGTTTCACAGACAAAAGAATTTTCAAATTAAAAAAAAAAAAACAAACCAAAACCAACCCCAAAACTCACCCAGTCAAGTGAATCCATGGTATCTCAAGCTGAGCACCCAGAAGTCATGAGCTCTTCTGGAAATTTTGGCCATTGTGAATATTTTTCTTTTTCTTTCCTTTGAAGAAAATATTACACCTCTGATTCCTTGTTCTGCCAAACCACCTTTACATTAGCTTAGGGGTATTTACATTGCCATAAACTTCACCTGAGAAAGAACAGATCCTGCTTCTGTCAAGCAAAATTTCAAGGCTGGACAAAAAGGACTTAGCAAGAAACTCACATTATAATACCTTAGTACATTTTTCATTGCTCCAAAGATCATGTAACATACCTTTATCTTACACATGACATGAAACTGGCCATAATGTTTTGAATGGAAATGAAACCATGCTAATCTTTACCCAAAGCTTACATCAAATCCACCTTCTTGTTCCTATTTTAAGTGACAGATAAATATTTTGGCTGATGATTTTAATTGTTGTGAATTTATGTGCTCCAGATTTCATAGAGGAAGAAGCATGATCTGAGGCATGTATTTCCAACACTGCCACAAGGAATGTATTACTTGAACATTTATGAAAGTCTCACATTGGAAAACATGTGAAGCAAACCTATTCATTACACAACGTGAAACTCAATTCAAGACTAAGATACCTTCATTATGCATCTACCATGTATGCTTCTATCTAGGAGCTACATGTCTTTAAGTTCCCATCATGGCAAATAGATGAACAAATAGACTAGAACAAATCTTAATTGTTATCGTCAATTGAGCGTAAAGAGTAACTCACCTGGAAGAGAGAGAGCTCAAAGACATAAATTTCCTAGGAGACTCAGGAAACCTAGAATATGCTAGATGGCAACTAGAAGAGAGAGCTGTTAAGTGCCCCAGTAGAAGTAAAGACTTCAGTGTGAGATTATGCATTACTAGACATCAGAGACTACACAAGTAAGCCATTTGGCTCCACAATGAGGCATTTTAAGTGACTTGACAAAAGAAAAAGCTTGCACCTGAAAAAAAAGCTCCTCTTAAATAATAAAAACAGCCACCAAACAGAAATCCATGGGAAGAAAGGCTTCCCTACATCTGTTGATCTTGTTTTTTATTTGACTCTCTAAGTTACCCAAGTGCAACCAGATCTATACAAAATCTTGTAAGTTATTAAATCTGGAAAAAAAAACAACTCAATACTTGCAGAAACAATCTTTGTTCTCTTACTTACATCTCAAAGCAGTGCATCTCAGAAAAAGTTTCTCTAATATTTCAAAATTTTCAATAAATTGCAATAAGGGTGACCTAAGAAGAAAAAAGTAGTTGCCACTCTGTTCCCTCATTTGTTCATCCACTACTCGTGTAGGTTTCTTTATGCTTGCAAAATTATCTTTCTATTTCTAGTAAGCGTGATGATAATTTTTCAAACTTTGGCATGCTTTTACTT